TTATAGAGCTGGAGTTGTCATGTGTAAACCCATATAGAGCTGGAGTTGTGTGTGTAAACCCATATAGAGCTGGAGTTAACATGGGTAAACCCTTATAGAGCTGGAGTTGTCATGTGTAAACCCTTATAGAGCTGGAGTTACTATGTAAACCCTTATAGAGCTGGAGTTATCATGTGTAAACCCTTATAGAGCTGGAGTTATCATGTGTAAACCCTTATAGAGCTGGAGTTACCATGTGTAAACCCTTATAGAGCAGAAAATATCATGTGTAAACCCATATAGAGCTGGCGTTGTTATGTGTAAACCCACATATACATAAACAACCTCCAGTGTAAACATTACCCTCACCTGCCTACCTCTCGTGTATACCTTGTGTTAATTATTCTCTTGGTTAATACATTCTTCATCTCTATCAGTGTATCAGTCACGCTTATCATCACACTCGATCTACTGTTATCTCTCGGAGCAATCTGGCCGGTGTCTCCCATGATCAAGACAAGTGACGTGACTGTGTGTTTTATAATGCTTTATCAATATGACTATAATATTGAACAGCAAACTTGCCTTCGAGATATATACCACACACCTCCTCCCACACCAACACGATACACCACACCTCCTCCCCAACCATACACCACCTCCATATACCACACCTCCCCCAACCATACACCACCTCCACCACCATACACCACCAACACCACCATAAACCACACCTCCACCCCACCATACACCTCCTCCCCCACCATACACCACACCTCCCCCTCCGTGAATATAATATGGGACTGTTAAACAAAACCTTAAAACCTGTAATCAAGACGGAACTTCTTGATGAATATGAAGCCAGTAGCCAAGTGCAAACAGGTGCTAGTCAATCCATTGTAAAACATGAAGCAAGTAACAAGATCACTAGATTACAAGATGTTGTAGCCGCTAGACTAAGGTTAAGATATAAATACTTCTGGCAGTATGATCCTCAAGCAGATGTGAACAAAACTAAATGTAAAGTGTGTGGTCAGACATATGGCCACACCCTCCAACACTACGTCTTGGACTGTGAAAAAATAGAACCTTTTAGAGATAGATCCAAGCACACTGTGTATGCAAAGGTACAGTACTTTATCTCTGATGACAAGATAGCTGATATACTAAGGCTGTATCCACACTTCACATCTAGTACCTAAGCAAACTTGTACAGTGTGCACCAAATTAACAAACAAAGTACTGTACTGGATATACTCTGCAACACTCAATGCCATAATACCTGACCACTGGGGTCTCATAAACACCCTTTGTCGCCTATACTCTGTAATCCTTTTGCGCTATCGCTCTCAAGAGTACGGGATGCACAATAAACTAGCTGCTGTCCACCATATATAAACCACACCTCTCTCTCCATCTCCATACACCACACCTCCATCATCATACACCACACCCTCCACCACCATACACCACACCACCACACACCACACCCTCCACACACCACACCTCCACACACCACACCCTCCACACACCACACCCACACCATACACACCACACCCTCCATCACCATACACCACACCTCCCCCATCACCATACATCACACCTCCCTCCACCACCATACGCCTCACCTCCCTCTCCACCACCATACACCACACCTCCCCTCCACCACCATGCACCACAACCCCCTCCACCACCACATACACACACCTCACCCTCCAGCACCATACACCACACCCCCACCACCATGCACCACACCTCCAACCACCACCACACCACCCTCCACCACCATACACCACACCTCCACCACCATGCACCACACCCTCCGTCACCACACACCACACTCCATGCACCACACCTCCACACCACACCACCCTCCACACCACACCTCCCTCCACACCACACATCACACCTCCCCACCACCATACACCACACCGCCCCTCCACCACCACATCACACCTCCACCACCACACACCACACCCTCCAGCACCATATGCCACACCCTCCAGCACACACACCACACCTCCCCCACCACCACTACTCCACATCTTCCCTCCATCACCAAACACCACACCTCCCCATTCACCACCATACACCACACCTCCTCCTCCTCCACCACCATACACCACACCTCCACCACCATACACCACACCTCCCTCCACCACCATGCACCACACCTCCCCTCCGTCACCATACACCACACCTCCATCACCATACACCACACCTCCCCCACCATACACCACACCCCCTCCACCACCATACACACCACACCTCCCACACACCATCCCCCACCACCACATCACACCTCCCCCACCACACACACCACACCGCCCACCCACCACCACACCACACCCCCACCACCATACACCACACCTTCCCTCCACCACCATACACCACACCGCCCCTCCACCACCACACAGACACCACACCTCCATACACCACACCACCACCACCATACACCACACCTTCCCACCACCATACACCACCTCCATCACCATACACCACAACCTCCCTCCATACACCACACCACCTCCATACACCACACCACCTCCACACACCACACCCTCCACCACCATACACCACACCTCCCTCCATCACCATACCACACCACCCTCCACCATCACACCTCCATACATCACACCTCCTGCACCATACACCACCTCCACCACCACACCACACCCCCCTCCCACACCACACCCCCCATACATCCACCTCCACACCATACACCACACCCCCTCCATCACCATCACCACACCTCCCCTCACCACACCACCCACCTCCACCACCATACACCACACCTCCCCTCCACCACCACACACCTCCCACCACCACACCTCCCTCCATACACCACACCCCCACCATACATCACACCGCCCTCCATCACCATACACCACACCTCCCACCACTCACCACACCTCCCTCCATCACCATACATCAAACCTCCCTCCACCACCACCACCTCCCCCACCATACACCACACCTCCTCCCCCACCATACACCCACACCTCTCCCCACCATACACCACACCTCTCCCCCCACCATACACCACACCTCCACCACCACACCACACCTCCCCCATACACCACACCTCTCCCACCATACACCACACCCTCCCCACCATACACCACACCCTCCCCCACCATCACCCACACCTCCTCCCCACCATACACCACACCTCCCCCACCATACACCACACCTCTCCTCCCCACCATACACCACACCTCTCCCCACACACCACACCTCCACCACCATATCACCACACCCCTCCACCACCATACACCACACCTCTCCCTCCACCACCATACACCACACCTCCCCACCATCCACCCTCCCCACCACACCACACCCTCCCTCCACCACCATACACACCTCCACCACCATACACCATACACCCATCTTCCCTGGCAACACAGCCTACTTGGCCAGCCCCCTTCCCTCCTCACACAGCCCACGCCAGACCCCCTCACACAGCCTACTTCGCCCCTCCTCACAGCCTCAGACCCCTACCCTCCCTCACACAGCCTACTTGGCCAGACCCCTACCCTCCCCTACACAGCCTACTTGGCCAGACCCCTACCCTCCCTCTACACAGCCTACTTGGCCAGACCCCCCCCCTCACAGCCTACTTGGCCAGTCCTCTCACAAGCCTACTTGGCCAGACCCCTTCCCTCTACACAGCCTACTTGGCCAAACCCCACCCTCCCTCACACAGCCTACTTGCCAGACCCCTACCCTCCCTCTACACAGCCTACTTGCCAGACCCCTACCCTCCCCTACACAGCCACTTGGCAAACCCCACCTCCCCACACAGCCACTTGCAGACCCCCCACACAGCCTTGGCCACACAGCCTACTTGGCCAGATCCCATCTCTACAAAAAACACCATCCGGCCCCCTCTACCAGCCCGATTTAGCCTGTGGTGGGAATCTATCTGTCTTCGTCTTGTGGGGTTTTCGCCTCATTTCCCCGGCGTGCCCGTTGTTTCCACCCGCTCTAGTTTACGATCCTTCCAGCCGGCATAAATTACCATTCATGAATACAAACTAATTCGTGGTTTACGCTTCTCATTATTTTGTTGGAGTCCCACTAGGGGGGGGGTTACCAGTTTGTGGGATGCTTACTCCTCCGCCGCCTCACTCTAACATTGACAAGAGGCATTTTTTGTTGTTCTTGGGTGTTGGATTTTCGACTCGGGGATGAGGGCATGGGTGGGATATATTTTTCATCATCTAGTGTCTTAATTATTGACTGTATAAAGATAAATATAATCATGGGTTCAGGTGTCATGCCCCCAGGATGGGTTACCTACAGCACTAAAGATCTTCTCTACCGTCATATGTGAAAATGTGAAGGGAGAAAAATGTGGGCTGAGACAAGAGTTAGGTCGGCATCAGCCTCCCAGCCGGCAGTTCCTTCCTTCCTCTGACCGGCCCAGACCCACACACTAGCACCAACTTTTACCCCCACACCACACTCTTCCCACAATGATTCGTCTCCTCGCCTCTAGTGTTGATTTATTATTACCACTTCAATATCACATCTGTTTGTCTCTCTCGTCATCCTAAACTTGATTACGAGAGGCGACGTTATGGATTATCCCATTAACTTTCAAATATGAATATATATATAATTATGAACACCTGGAAATATAAATTACAAGAGTGACTGCGAACGAACTGCACTAAGAGGCGCCTGATGTGGCATATCCGAGCAGGACTGAGCCGTTGTAATCAGGCATTAAACCCACTTCAACCAACCATCTACCAGGATATTGATCTCGGGGGCGGACCCACATAACTCGCCCCGCCCAATTTCGCCCAGCGGCCAGTCAACGTTCACGATTTCTTCTCCTCAGCCAGTGGCCAGGTCCAGATGCCCATTAGGGAGGAGCCAACGAAATGATAGCCAATCACGTTACAGAGCCCGGAATTCAATGAAAGAGATACTAGACCAATCAGAATGGTCAGAGGATAATGGTGGCCCGGTTTTCATTAGCGGTACAAATGGTGTGAAATGGTGATGTGATGAGCGCTGACTTAGGTGATATCAGAAGCGAACTCGACACCGGAAAGACAACACGTGTCCAGGATCGTGAACGTGAGAGTTAGTGTGGCCAGGGTGAGCAACACCTTGTTCAGCACATGACAGAAAAATTAACTTGGCCAGTAACTTGAAGAGGGACAATGTGCTCACCAGGAATTTTGTGTTGATTTACAATTTGTTATTTATTTGTTGTGGAGACGTGAGGACTGAGGTGTGTGTGTGTGTTTGTGTGCGGTGGGCGGCAGAGACACCCGTGGGCTGGCAGGAGCGACGCCTTCACCATGTCCACCAGCGAGCGTAAGTCCTTCTGCATCGAGTCGCTACTGTCGCGGGAGGCGGTGGTAGCGGGCGTGGGCGGCGGCGGGCGGAGTACGCTGAGCCCCGCTGACCTCACCTCACACGAGGTCACCTCCCCGCCCCACACGCCGCCCCTCAGCCCGCTCTCCTCGCCACACTCCTCCCCGCTCTCCATCTCTCCCGCCGTCACCTCCTCAGCCATGCTCAATCGCGCCACCTTCCTAGGGGGGGCGTCGGCCCCTCTCATGCCCTCTCACCTCTACCAGTACCCGGGTATGGCCTTGCCCCCCGGCCTTCTCCCTGCCCACGCCTTCACGCCCACCAGTTCACCACTGTTGGACGCCCAGGCCTTCAACGCCCTTAAGTCCGGGGCGGCATCACTTCCGCCCGCCGCCCTGGACTGGTTCGCCCGCGCCGGCCTCATGTACCCGCGCCTCCCCCCGGAGCTAGCAGGTCAGACACTGTTGTTATTACATTATACTAACCTCCTGTTCTTAATGGTGACTCAGTCATAATGTACCACCACCTATTATACAATGTTACTACTGTACATTATTACAATCTTAATCTCCCCTCAAAAAAAAAATCGACGTCACGATAAAATATTGACGATTTAAATAAATATTAAAAGATGATTAATAAACAAAAAACGTGAGGAAGACTTCAGGCGCCCACCACCTGCCCCCCGGCCACACCTTATGGCGCCCACTACCTGCCGCCCAGCCACACCTTATGGCGCCCACCACCTGCCGCCCGGCCACACCTAAGGCGCCGACTATATCTGCCGCCCGGCCACACCTTAAGGCGCCCATCACCTGCCGCCCGGCCACACCTTATAGATTTTTCATTAACCAAAACTTTTATGATGGCGAAAAATTATATAATAACTACAACAGCCAAACCTAATCTACTCTGATCTAACTTTAGCATAAACCATTTAATCTAATCCTAACTAAATCCCCAATTTAACAAACAAATCAGCGGAAATACAGGTCAATTAACCCATTACCTGAAGGGCACACGACAACGAACTCACTCGACAGTTTTCATTTCTCCAAGACAGAATTTTGGTCAAAGGAAAAATGTTTATGCAAGTCGCTCCCACACACAAGGTCCAAATTTCCCCTCTGTGTTTATCCGTGAGATTAAGTTTTAACTCCTTGAAGAATGAAAGATTAAACTATAATCCTGAAAGGGTGAATCCATCATCCACCAAAGTTTAATCCATCGCACTCAATAAGTTAAATCAACGTCCTCACAAAGGTTAATCCACCGTCCTCAATAGGTTAATCCATTGTCCTTAAAGAATTAAACCATCGTCTTTAAATGATAAAAAGTTTGTGTTTTAAGTTAAACCATCATCAGGCTAGATTCGGTTAAGTAGGTCCAAATTAGATGCTAGGTTAAGCAAGGTCAACCCAGACTGGCAAGTAAGGTCAGGTTAAATTTGGCAAAATAAGGTCAGACTATATTAAGGTTAAATAAAGACATGATAAATCTGTTAAGTTAGGTTAGGTGTTTTGACATCTTGTCCTACAACTACGCACCAGAATTATCAAAGGTTGTTGTTGTTGTCAAAATGTTATTACTGTGGTTGAACAACGAAGGCCTTTAAGCGCGAAACAAAGTTAATAATATTCTAATATTAAAAAAAATAAGATAAAATTGTTGAATTTTAAACGGGTTTACTAATGTACGTTCATTTTTCACCTGTAGATAAAATACATACATTATGAGAACTAACTTACAGACGGTGGAAAATGTCTGTGTCTCCTCGATAAATGTCAACACTCCAACTAGGACAAAGGCTCCGAGCAGCAATGACAGGCGGTAGTATCCGTATCCTCTCTCCTCTCTGCGTGAGTTCTGGAAGAGATGCCGCCGCCAGACCAGGACACTCGACCACTTTTCTCGGTACAGTCTCGAACCATTTTGAAGCTTCTCATAACAGATACAGTGTAGCTTATAAGTGAACCAGTTAGATTCGTTCATACATCTCCACTTACGATTCTTTAGTCTACAAAAATATGAGCCTTGGCGCTACAGTTCCGAGGTTATTTTTTGATCGGGATTAATTTTTCGTTGTCGTACTTGGTCTTGAGAGAGTCTTACTGCATCGTACGTCAGTCAGTCAGTCAGTATCGTATCTTAAGTAAGTCAGTGTCGTATCTTAAGTCAGTCAGTGTCGTATCTTAAGTCAGTCAGTGTCATATCTTAAGTCAGTCAGTGTCGTATCTTAAGTCAGTCAGTGTCATATCTTAAGTCAGTCAGTGTCGTATCTTAAGTCAGTCGGTGTCGTATCTTAAGAGTCAGTGTCGTGTCTTAAGTCCGTCAGTGTCGTATCTTAAGTCAGTCAGTGTCGTATCTTAAGTCCATCAGTGTCGTATCTTAAGTCCGTCAGTGTCGTATCGTAAGTCAGTCGGTGTCGTATCCACAAAGACTGTCATATCTCCTCTTCATCTGACACATTGGCATATGAATAATTTCTGAACCGCTCAACAATTGATTAGATGCAAAACCAATCCTCCATAACCTACCCTAACCTACCCTGCCCAAAACTGATCTACCCTTCCTTAAACCTGACCAAACCTACCCTAACCTGACCTACCCTAATCTAACCTAACCTGACCCTCCCTAACCTGACCAAACCTACCCTAACCTGACCTGACCTACCCTAACCTGACCCTCCCTAACTCAACCTAACCTGACCTCCCTAACCTGACCAAACCTACCCTAACCTGACCTGACCTACCCTAACCTGACCCTCCCTAACCTGACCTACCCTAACCCAACCTAACCTGACCCTCCCAACCTGACCAAACCTACCCTAACCTGACCTACCACCTAGTCCCTAACCTGACCTACCCTAATCTAACCTAACCTGACCCTCCCTAACCTGACCAAACCTACCCTAACCTGACCTGACCTACCCTAACCTGACCCTCCCTAACCTGACCTACCACCTCCTAACCTGACCTGACCCTCCCTAACCTGACAACTACCCTAACCTGACCTACCTCTAACCTGACCAACACCTAACCTGCTAACCTGACCTGACCTACCCTAACCTGACCTGACATACCATGTTCTTCCCTACCCTAACCTCATCTGACCTACCCTTCCCTGCCTTACCCTAACCTAACCTACCAGAATATTAGGAATATTACATAAAACCTTGAGACCTGATGTAATTCTGTCCACTCCCCGTCAATTTGGTGGTTGGGCGGGATTCTGTCTAATAGAAAACTGTCCAATGCGCTTTTTTTTCAATAGGGATTTTCTTCAGATCCCATTGTAATATATTCATAGACAGAAGGAAAATCTGATAGTCTGGGACTTTTTCACATAACGAGTATTTGGATTTTTCTGTGGTGGGTGAGTGGTGGCACGAGTCCCTCTGGGTGACACAAGTAGCGGGGGGACACAAGTAGTGGGTGACACAAGTGGGTGGTGACGCAAGTAGTGTGACGCAAGTATAGTGGGTGACACAAGTAGCGGTGGACACAAGTAGTGGGTGACGCAAGTAGCGGTGGACACAAGTAGCGGATGACACAATTAGTGGGTGACGCAAGTACCGGTGGACACAAGTATAGTGGGTGACACAAGTAGCAGATGACACAAGTAGTGGGTGACACAAGTAGCGGTGGACACAAGTAGCGGGTGACACAAGTAGGGCAGACGCAAGTACCGGTGGACACAAGTATAGCGGGTGACACAAGTAGCGGTGGACACAAGTAGCGGGTGACACAAGTGAGGGTGACACAAGCAGCGGGTGACACAAGCAGCGGGTGAAACAAGTAGCGGGTGACACAAAGGATGGACACAAGCAGTGGGTGACATAAGCAGCGGGTGACGGGGTAGCGGGTGACGCAAGTAGCGGTGGACACAAGTAGCGGGTGACACAAGTAGCGGTGATGGGGCAGCGGTGACACAAGTATAGTGGGTGACACAAGCAGCGGGGACATAAGTAGTGGTGGACGCAAGTAGCGGTGGGACACAAGTAGCGGGTGACAATTAGTGGGTGACGCAAGTACCGGTGGACACAAGCATGTGGGTGACACAAGCAGCGGGGGATAAGGTAGTGGTGACACAAGTAGCAGGTGACACAAGCAGCGGGTGACACAAGCAGCAGGTGACACAAGCAGCGGACACAAGCGGGTGACACAAGCAGCGGGTGACACAAGCAGCGGGTGACACAAGCAGCGGGTGACACAAGCAGCGGGTGACACAAGCAGCGGGTGACACAGGGGCAGCGGGTGACACTATACTGGTGGTGGACGGTGGTAGTGCCTCCACCACCATGCATCATAGCACCCCGCCGGTCATAGCTCACACAATTATAGGACAAACACATGTTATTATGCAATATTATTTCACTAGACTATTTGTTACCTGTAGATTAATATACAACGAAATGGGCAATATTTATCAAGACACCGGCGGGTCACTACCATACAGTCTGGTTTATTAATGAAACTTAGTACAGGTATATATTTATTTTTTAAATCATTATCAGAAATCTTTGTTATAGTATTAAGTGAAACAGAACCCTGAAAGGACGAGCGTTAGTGCTTATTACTGTACTGTCTTGATGAAATAATGGACACTGTTACTGTTACTTACTACACCTGTGTCGCTACTGTCATCTCAATCTTTGAAATACAAAATACTACTAAAACAACTATATAATTACATACCTAAATATAAAACTGAAATTAATATATTTTATGATGATATCGGAGACTTGGGTAAAGTGAGGCAGCGACTGTAGGTGAACTGTCCAAAGCTACACCTGAGAGCCTTGTGTATAACATGTGCTGATACTCAATATTTCGTTACCATAGTATAAAACATTCTATATGCCTATTATTATTAGTATTAGTATTATTATATACCAGCCACAATATTCACCAATTATTTTTTATATTTTGTTTATTACCTTCAAGTTCCTCGTCATAGGAAATAAGATCAAAAGCTGACTGGAGAGGCTGATACCCCACACAAAACACCCATCACCCAACACCCACCACCCCACACACAACACCCACCACCCCACACACAACACCCACCACCCCACACACACAACACCCACCACCCCACACACAACACCCACCACCCCACACACAACACCCACCACCCCACACAACACCCACCACCCCACACACAACACCCACCACCCCACACACAACACCCACCACCCCACACACAACAACACCACCCCATACACACACAACACCCACCACCCCACACACAACACCCACCACCCCACACACAACACCCACCACCCCACACACACACAACACCCACCACCCCACACACAACACCCACCACCCCAGCACACACAACACCCACCACCCCACACACACAACACCCACCACCCCACACACACAACACCCACCACCCACACACACAACACCCACCACCACCCCACACACAACACCCACCACCACCCCACACACAACACCCACCACCACCCCACACACAACACCCACCACCCCACACAACACCACCACCA